TCGAGCGAGTCGTTAAGCTATCGAATATTTCAGAATGAACCACCTTAAGACGACCTGAAATTATCATACAATCACTTCCACTACAAGAAGATCTGCGATAAACCTTCAACCGCCATCCACCAACAACCCAATTCGATTCACGATGCAGAAGCTCATCGATGTTCTGATAGTTGGTGGTGGTCCTACAGGGATGACCATGGCCCTCGAGTTGGTCACCCAAGGCATCTCCTTTCGCATCATTGACAAGGCCATAGAGCGATCGCCATACAGCCGCGCGCTCATTATGCAGTCACGAACATTGGAGCTTTTCAGCCGACACAGCGGTGTTGAAGAGCTGATAGCCGCAGGCACGACAGCCGAAGCGGCGTCTATATGCGTATCGGGCAAGAAAATAATAGACATTAATATCAATGATGTCAAGATACCTGGGACTAAATTCCTCTTCCCGATGAGCATAACTCAATCTGAGACAGAGCGTTGGCTGGAGAAGACCCTGGGCAAACACGGAGTTCGAGTTGAGATGGGCGTTCAAGCCAAGAATGTCATCCAGGACGTTGACGGTGTTACTGTCACACTGTCTACCAAGGATGGAGTCGAGGAGGAGATACGTGCAAAGTACGTCGTTGGAGCTGATGGCGCACACAGCACCGTTCGTCATGCCGCCAAAAACCTCACGTTCAACGGTGACGCCTATCCCCAGGAGTTTATCCTCGCTGATTGCCATATGAAGTCCCAACTACCTGACGACCAGGCTTATATGTGCCTAGGATATGGCGCATTGGTTGTGCTGCCGCTGAAGGGCGGAATGGTTCGGCTTGTGGTTTCTCGTCCTGGCCAAGACAATACGCGGGACCCCAAGCTGGAAGACTTCGAAGAATTCTTACAGGAGATCTTTCCGGGTGGCGGCTCTCTACACGATGCTGCGTGGGTCACAAGGTTTCGACTTCACCATCGCGGCGTCAATAACTACCGTGATGGGAGACTCTTCGTTGCTGGCGATGCGGCTCATATTCACTCGCCTGCTGGCGGTCAAGGTATGAATACCGGAATTCAAGACGCAGTCAATCTTGGATGGAAACTCGCTGCCGTTCTCCATAATGAAAAGCCGGACTGCTTCCTTGATAGCTATAACAATGAGCGGTATCCTGTCGGGCAGTATCTCCTCAAGAGCACGGACAGGATTTTCACATATGTGACGTCGACGAACCCTATCTATATTTTCCTACGTAACCTCATCCTTCCATGGATAGTGCCATTGGTTGCGAGCAACAAATCGCGTGTGTTGAATCGGTTACTGTTCATTTCACAGCTCCGGATTCGGTATCGACGCAGTGACATCGTCGGCACCGCTGCTGGTTTCTCCGGCCCCATCAAGGGAGGCGATAGGGCTGCCGACGGTAAGATCAGGGGTCCGGAGGGCGAAAAATGGCTACATGATCTGCTGAGTCCTGAGAGTCATCACCTCATGCTGTTTTCCGGATTAGGCCCCAATCGAGCTAGTGAAGGCGATTTACATCGTGCCGAAACTAAGTTTCTTAATGATGCCAAAGCCGCAGTAAATATTCACACAATATTCGGCGGAGAGCAAAACGGACAGGCAGGCTACGTTGATGTGGAGGGAGCTCTTCACAAAACATTCGGTTTCAACAACGCCGGTTATGTCCTCGTTCGACCAGATGGGTACGTAGCCCATATCGGGTCTTTGGTAGCAGTCGAAGAGGCGACAAAGTGGCTGTAACGATGGCACCAGTTAGAGAACTGTACAGTACATAAAAGCGACAAAACGATATCCTACCTCTTTTCTAGATGAGAGTCTCTTTTAGACTCACTTTGTATTTAGCGACTACATTAAAACCCCATCTGTATACATGAAATTAATCCCATTATTACTACAAACTGTTGAGAAACGAGCTATAGATTTAATGTACCTCCCATCTTTAGCCATCCATGATAAGGATGGCCTGAAAGCCACCAGACCAAGCATCGGCTGAGAGACAAAGAAGCTACATTGCTTGAGGCATTACATTTTCATTGGACAAGATCTCGACCCTTAGGCTTTCATGCCTAGTATCATTGTTCCGTTTTCAATAAAGAAAGATGAATCAAGGTCTTAGTATATACAATTACACTACCTCATCGAGTCTCCTCAGTCACGGTAAGCAACAATCCTAACCTCAGACATTAGAGCACAATATCCATATCGGAACTGCAAACGACAACATCAATACCTATCACATTCTCTCGGGATGCACAAACATCATAGGCAAGATGACCCGTCAAAACCAAATCTCCTTGACGCCATGAAGCAATACACCAGATTTGACGAGGTCCCGGATCCAGATGACTACATCCCGGTGCGGGAAGCCTATCTGCGAAAGAACATGCTCGAGTCCTTGAATAAGCCACCGCCTAAGACCGATAGAGAAATGAACAAATGTGAGGACTATCTGCGGACCAAATGGGGGTGCACAGACGCTATGCCTGGCTCCTTCGACCCCTACAAGCTCGAAGCGACTCTGCATTCACGGTTCCCAAGCCAAAGCAGACGCGGAAGATCGAGTGCGCCACGAGAACAAAAGCCAGAGCCGATCGTTCAGCAAAAACGGGATAATGATCCGGTAGACACGTCTCAAGTACCGTCCCTTGAAGACGAATCTACTCACACTCCCACTCCTGAGGTCATGTATACCAGCGATGGCTGCACGTCGTCCGACTCCGTATCCACTATATCAATAACCGAGTCCCTCGACAATGATGAGCAACTCGAGGGCTACGAGAGCGAAGTGGCGGTCAGCGAAGCCTCCATGGAGAACATCACGCAGGTGCGTTCGCGCTCCACAGACGCCAACAATGCCAGCACCCGCGGGCGAGATACATGTACGTTGGAGCGGACGCCGACGCCACGTATCCGACGCGGATCAAAGCCGCCGCTTAGCCGGAGCGCGTTCGTGGATGGTGGGGTGCCGTGTCTCGACGAACAATGCCGGGGTTCTTGTAGACGATGCGTGACGAGGAGAGGGCGTGCGAAGACGCCGAATTATTTTCCTTTTAAGAGCCGGATGAGGAAGTAGCGTAGATGCGAGAGAGGAAGAAGTGTTTGTCGTTGTAGACAGATTACAAATATTAGTATTAATCAGACCCCAGTCAGTTTCTCTCTCAATTAGTTACTACTTAAAATTGAAGGTCTGCCCCTAAATCAATCATGTATGTATTTCATTGTGCCTCTGTTAAACTGTGTGCCGCTGAACTATAGCTGGATAATTCTGCATGCTTGGGTTTCATGGCAAACTTGGGAGGAGCTGAGGCGGCCAGACGCGCTTTTATAACTCGCAGTTTGTGCAGTCGACACTCATTGTTGCTATGAACGGCATGGATATCCTCTTGAGAGAAGCGGGAGCCGTCGCTGAGGGCGAACCATGCATCGCAACTATTGACGAGTAAATTTCAAACCCTTAAGTTGGCAACGGCAACCAAGGACCAAGGTGAACAGATGCCGGCTGGTGATGTAGAGGGCGCGGGCAAGCCAACTCACCTGCCTCATTCAATTTGGTGAAATTGCTGGTGGTTGGAAGCGCGCCAAGCCTACAGGGGGCAGCGGGTGCGGAACAACAGCATTGCGTCAACACCAGATCAGCTAATGGACACAAAGAGTTTTTTCAATCCAGACCGGTGATCCAATGCGTCGATGCTTTGGAGATTAATCGTGATCCTAAGCACATTCACCATGGTACAACTACGAACTCTTCTAGGCGCGAGTCTCGTAGTAGGGAGTATTGCTTCACCCCTGACTGCTACCCCGCAAGACCACCTGCGAGGATCTGGGTATGTCAAGCTGCCCAAGCCGTCCTGGAAGCTGCTAGACACTGGAAGCAAAGCACAGTTCCGCGGTCTCGCACCCGTATCAGAGAGAATTGCTTGGGTATCAGGCACGAACGGCACCGTCCTCCGGACCACGGATGGTGGCAAAACATGGGCTTCGGTCGGCCCACCCCTGTCAGCAGAGGATGCTGGGCTAGAATTCCGTGACATCGAGGCTTGGTCGAAAGACAAGGCGGTCATCCTGTCGATTGGAGAAGGAACTGATTCGCGTATCTACGTCACTAAGGATGGAGGTGTTAGCTGGACCCAGTCATTCACCAACGAGGAGGCTACAGCTTTCTACGACTGCGTGGCCTTTGAAAATCCACACCACGGCATAGCGATGAGCGACCCTGTTGATGGGAAGTTCAGGCTCCTCGAGACAGTCAATGGGGGAGAGACCTGGAAAATCGTTGACTCAAGCGGAATGGCACCTGCACTAAATGGTGAATTTGGATTTGCTGCGAGTGGTACTTGCATCGCTACAGCGGCCGGACGATGGTACATTGCCTCCGGTGGTGTTGACCCGGGGAGGATCTTCCGCAGCGCGAATGGGCATAAGTGGGAGGTTTCCAACAGCTCAATTGCCGGGGGTGAGGCTGGTGGCGTATTCTCAGTTCAGTTTCGGGACTCTAGACATGGTATTGCTGTCGGAGGCGATTTCGAAGCACCGACAGGGGCTGTAAACAATGCGGCGTGGTCGACGAATGGTGGTGAGACTTGGTTACCTTCGACTTCTTTTCCAGGCGGATATAGGTCCGGATCCTCCTGGGTGGGGATCTCTGGCATAGCCCTTGCTGTAGGCCCGACCGGGTCAGACTTTACTCTCGATGGTGGTCGGACGTGGCGTAACTTCGATAACGGCACTTTCGACAGCGTTGAATGCTTGAGAGGGAAGGTTTGCTGGGCTTCCGGCCAGAACGGAAGGGTGGCCCGGCTCTCCTTATGATGAAATTGTATAAAGTTCTGTACACTACGTGGATATGGTCCTCATAGACCGTAACATGTACAAACAGGACGATCAATACAAACATTTCGTTACTCGCCGACTGCTTCGTGCTTACATTACTTACACCTATGATCACCCCGCTTCATGGCCCAATTATGGATGGCCATAAAGCATAAAAAAAGAACGTAAATAGTGCGGTGAGTGTGGATTGAACACACGACCTTCAGATTAATGATGAATGAAGTTATACTTCAGTCTGACGCTCTCCCAACTGAGCTATCCCCGCTGCTGACGTTGGTTTCATATGGTATGCATTGTTTAATATGTAAATGACATTAGAGCTGGAGATGTTCAACAAATGCGGATGGTAACATGAAGAAGCATTCAACGTTCGTCATGCGATCTAATTCTACTCGGCGGCGCACTCTGCCATGACTGTGTAAGCTAGAAATGATGTTGTTCGGGCCTCAATGAAATTTGATCGAGCTGAATTTTCAAATATTTCATGGTTTTAATATTCGTCTCTCATAGTTCTAATGTCATGTAGACGCTATAAACTGAGCCGGCTAGTTCATTATTATAAAAGAGCTTGCCGAAGTTCGTCTGAGGAATGCACCATTTTCACTAACGGAATAGCAGAAATGATCAGCAGTTTCGAGATATCGCAGGATGCAACGAGTTCTTGTTACGCCCAGCATGAACAGTTTCCTTCTCGGTCACAGAAGCCTCATACCCGAATCGTGCGTTTTGTGACTTTCAATTTTCCTCAGATTTTATGTGATGGTCTCAGAGTTGTACGAGTTTATACACTGGTAAATATCAAGGAGAGGCCCGATATACTTTCTAGGGTACACGATTTGTTTGTTGAGTATGCTTGATAAGTGGACGAGCATAATGAATACTCTTTGCCAGATGGCTTTTGAGGAGAATCAGTGCCTCCTTAGATTAAAACGAGGTCTACGAGGAATTAAGCACGAGGCCACATCAAGGGAGAAAGGGGAAAAAAGGTACACCCAATAAATCAATCTAACTTCCGTCGCTGAAGTTGAGGAGCTCCATCTTTATATGAAGCACACTCTCCCCTGTATCTTAAACATCACGGTATCTTGATAGAGGACGTTTCCATGCATGCAAACCTATTAGGTAACCTAGAGCGCTAGACGCATTTTGCAGTGACGGTATAATGTCGCTTGCTTTATTGTTCATAAATCTATTGTATCGAGTTTGCGGAATGGGAGTCGTATACTTCCAAAATCGGATGAAGAGAGGTGACTGTATAGATGATCAAGACTACCCTACCACCCCAGCGTCTAACACAGCGAATATACCTGGATCATAGAGAGAACCCTACTAAGTATCTGAATAGCAAAGACAACTGCCGCTTCCGGCTCCGAAACTAAAGAGGTCGTGACTGATCAAGGTAAGGCTCAATAAAGCCCAACCCATAAAGGCCTGCTAAGAACCCACGGGCTTAACTTAAAAGCCTGCTAAGCACTTATAAGGTTACTTAAGTTAAGCGCTGATTAAAGGCCTACCTAAATTTTTGTATATAAATAAAGTTTTATTATTAAAAATCAGGTTGCTAGTGAGATCTTAAAGAATGACGTATTCGGGTAGTCCCAAGGTGGTGTTCGTAGAGGGCGACATTTGTATAAGTCTAACTAATAGATTCAACTGCGCAGAAGAATCAAATCACAATCATTACAACTCTATACTTGACAACTACGTTGAGAACCTGGCACAATCTAGAGCGACGAAACCCTCGTCCACTATAGCGCGGTCATGGCGGGCGTATCGGAAATCGTGGTTGAGCATCCGAAGAATAAGGGTTGACTCTTGCGAGAGCAATACCCCGAGGACTTCACAGAGTAAGTGTAGGTAGCATCAGCATTAGCTAGCAAGCTGACAATGAATCTGCAAGCGGTTCGTTCATCTTTGCTTCTGTTAGAAACGACCTGCTGTACGATCAACCGGAGTGCCGTCACCTGTAAATACGCCAGTTCAAGTCTTCGTATACCTCGAGGTCTGACGGGGCCACCTTGTCAGCCCCAATTATGGCCTTGATCGATTTCATTATCCATCTTACGCCCTCATAGAACCTAATATTCAGGGCGTCACTGGTTCGCAATGTCTCTTGCAAAGATCTCATCCTGATTCGCTCAGCCTCATGATCCCCAGCACATCGTAGTTGCGAAAGGTTCGCGTCCCGCCCTAATGTAGACTCCTCATGAACTCGATAAGTTACCCTCTTGCCTTTAAGTTTCTGAAGCAAATCTTGCTCCGAATAATTTGTGGCGTCAGACCCAAGGTCATCAAGTATGGAACGTGAACATTCTAAAACCGATCGCATGCTTCCTGCTGTTCTGATGGGTTCTAGAGACAGAAGCTTGCTCCGACCGAAAAGGCATAGATATGTAAGCAAGTAGCAGAAAAGCCATACTGCCTCAAGTATGAGTCCTAGACGAACGAGATTTGTAGAGAATCCCCACCTTAATCCTGGGGCGGTAGTGCATATTGCGTTCTGGGTGTCGAGCAAGTCAGGGAGAATGGGCTTCCCTTTGTAGCAAATACAGTTTCCTAAGCTGTTCCATAATCTATTCCCTGAACAGTTGAGACCAATGTCTAGAAATGGCGCTGGTAATTTAAAGGCTGTGTTATTTAACCATAGAGTGGAATTATACGGTATCATGCCTGGTTTCCCGCGAGGAATAGAATTGTTGATGGCGTATCGATACAATCGAGTTTCCTCGAATCCGGATTCGTTAAATGGTGAATAATCAACCGATTGTTTGAGTGGCAGAATTGATGCTTGACTTTCTCCAGGCCCAATATACCCCGGGGTCTCAATTAACGAATTTGGGAGTCCTGGCGGCCTGGCTATACACATGGACTGATTGTACCGCCAGTCCACACTGGTCACCCCCGTTGTTGTTGTTGTTATTGTTGTTGTTGTATCTGCGCTTGGGGGGCTCAAAGTCGCAGCTGCAGCAGACGACACCCAGCTCGTACCATTAAAGATGATTTGCAAACTCTGAGCTGAGAGCGCATCTGTCAGCTTGGTTAGGTCATGTATCCGTCATCTTGAGTAAGTGGTGTTCTTCTGAACTTACATGCGTATATGTTTCTGAAGTTCGCTGAACTTTTCGTCACAGAGTCATTATAGCTGAAGTGATCCCATATCGTCTCCATTCCTTTTGGATTCCAGCCACCTGTCGTGTAGCGGAGCTTGTGGTCTACTACTTCGGAGACGTTTGTGTTATTTCGAAAGCAAGGCGTCTGTGCTCCATATTGCCAATCTTCTATTGATATCCCAAATGACATGAAGTTAGGGCCTGTTTCGACAAAGCTAGGTGGCAATCCAAGCCTTGCAGAGTCTAAAACCCAACAAATCGCCAGATCAGCACTCTGCAATGGAACAAGTTCGCCTCCAGGCATTTTGAAAAGCCAGTGGGAAAGACTGAGGTACCCTGTGGCTGTACTCCAAATTACCGGAAATAATAGAGCGTAGCCAAGCAGGTACAGCAACAGGAGTGTAATAAACATGGCCATGTGGCTTCTTGTAGAGAAAAGTGACCTAGAAGCGACCAGTAATGTTTCAAGAGACGCTCGAGAGAAAGAAACGGCGGCATAGTGTTCATAGGTGACGCTGGAGGTTTCCATAGTGAAGACGAGGAGTGGATAAATAACATGTCGGTATAGTAGCCATCCGTGGCAGAGACGCCCTCCTTGGCCCACAATGATGTCCCATGTCACATCAATTATTCTAGCTTGGCCATATGTAAAGGTGCCCAGATTGAAATCCAAATCGAAAAATCTCTCGAATGGACCGGTGCTTGTGTCAGTGCAGCTGGGAGTGATTTGGCTTCCTTTCCCGATAAGAGAAGAGGTGAAGTGGTCTGGTAGCCAGGCACTTAATGAGCTGATAGCAATCAACGCAGCTAGTGAGAGCGCTGGGTTTGCGTATCTCCAGTACCGCCATTCGACGAAATGTGTTATGAACGATAGCATGCTTGTAATTACTAGCTTGAGAGGGCATAAACGTTTGCTGTTCTGGGGCTCAAAATTTAGGGAACGTCCAACTTGTTTAAGATATCAGAAGAGCGCCTAAGTTCTCCGAGCTACTAGGAATCATGAGATAAACCTTTTTTTTAGACAATAAATTTCACCACAAGATGAATTACCGAAACCCATAAAGCCTGGGGGCCATGTGAGAAAGGCCCCCACGTTTGTCTGCATGGCTCTGTATTCCTGTTTCATGATATATTTAGAGGGCGTTTAAACTGACCAATTGTATCAAAGGAGGAACCCGGTGGACCTATTGTCAGGTCCAGCGTGGTATAAAAGACATTCAAGGCATAAATAACATACGAGAACGGGAATAACGGTTCCATAGAGTCACGTGACAGTTCGCCATGCTCGCTAGCGAGACCAGCGACCCAAGTTATTAGTAAGGGAGGGAATTTTCATATAGTCAGGACTTCTTATGTAGCTAGTCATCCTTTACCTTGGTCGTTATTGTTGTTGTTGTTGTTGTTGTATTTAACGCTAGGGGAGCCAGTGAAGCTGAACTCCGAGCCCCTCGAATACACGAGGGCATGCTGAACTATAAGACTAATAATATTCCGAAGGTGGTCGATAGAACACAGGCTCAATGCCGCTAGGGCAGATCCTCATGGCCAGAACAGCTCTGACGTAGTGTTATTTGATTCCCCCGTGCCAGCGTAAACAAGAATATAGCGTAACTAAAAGTTCAACACCAAAGCCTAATTGAGGTGTATGCCCTCAATAACCCTCTGGTTAAACTCTATTCAAAGTCAAATACCGGGAAATTGGCTATATAAGAGCGAGGCAGGCCTGCTTTCCACGTTACCATTTCCAGTATGAACCAAACAAGACCTTCACCATGCCGGATTCGAAACCCATTATAGATCCCAGCTACGAGGGCGAAGACCTCCGTTTTTGGCTGGCTTGCAATAAGTCATACCAAACAACTACTGTTAAACTCAGTCAATGAGTGTATACTAGAATGTCTTGGTTCTTCAATTGTGCCTGCCGCGACAAAATTGAGTTGGCCTATAAGAGCCCTTTTACATTAGAAATATAACATATAAACTTACTTGAAGGCTTCGAGTTGGTTCTTGGCTACGGTGAAGGATATGAGTTTTGACAAGCTCAAGAAGACATTTAATTGCACTTGCCCTTAGATGCGTGTCTCTCTCAGTAATACGACAATAAATGTAGCCTACACGGAACATTATAATTAAGGCTATACAGTGAAGTTCTCGC